CTCTCTATATATATATATATATATCTCCATATATCTAGCTCTCTATATGTATATATAGAGAGAGATAGATATATAGAGATATCTATCTATCTTCATTTGCAACCTACTATTTCAGTTCTTGTTAAGTGCTATATATATAGTTATCCCCATACATCGACTAACATTCAAATTAGATGTATGTTTTAAACATACACTTAGACCATTCTGGAGATAATACTATTTCTGTAGAAAAATATGCCCATGAAGGCTTACTTAAACAATGTAGTATGGGAAAAAGATATGTATCTTCTACTTAATAAAATGGTAGACCATAACAGTTACAAAAACTAGCAAATACTCCACAAATAAGGCTTAAAAAATGAATGAGTTAGATTTTAATAAAAAATGTTATGAGGGTTTTCATTTTCAAATTTTTAGATTTTTCTGGATAGTAATGTTAGTGGTTTCTTTATTGCATCAAAGTTTATATTATTTTCCAAAAAAATGTAAGTCTACTTTGAACATTATGTTCTTTTAAGAACTATCTATATGGTATCAAACTGAAAAAGCAACTCAGAAGATTAGACAGGAATCTTGAGAGGCAGTGAGTTTATTTTAATGAGGGAAGAACAACTCAGAAAAGGGAGGACAGTTGGACACCTTGAGAAATGTAATCAATGTCACTGAACTGTACATGTAGCAACTACTGAACTGGTGTATTTTTCTATGTATATTCTCAACAACAATAAAATAAATATTTTTTAAAAAGCTTACTATATTTTCCACAAAAAGGGCACTGGTTGGCATCCTCTGATCTCTTCTAATTTCACATAGGGGAGACAGAATCAGCATCAGCATCAGCAGCATCAGCCGCATCAGCCCAAGCCTGATCCCTATGAATCAGAGGTCAGGCATGCCACAACCCTCCACACTTTTTTTTTTTTTTTAACCAATTCTGACACCAATCTTCCCTACCATGGCACTCTCTACTTCTCTGCTAGGTTCAATAATTCTTTGCAATGACCACACAGAACTCATAGGCAATATTCACATTTATGGGGTTTATTAGGGAAGTGAACAGGTTACAATTCAGGTTCAGGAATGCTCCAGATACAAGTCTTCTATCAGAATAGCTTCCCCTCAGTAATGGCCATAGGCACGCCTCTCTCTGGGCCATGGCCTCTCAGCCTGGCCTCTGCCCTGCCCAGGTAAGTGTCACAAAGTTCTTTCAGCTCTGCCAATAGGTACACCCTACTCGGCCATCCAGCCTCCTGTCCAACAGCAGTTTTCCTGCTCCATGGGCCAGCAAGCCCAATGCTCTGTGTGAAGCAGGTATCTCAGCCCTGCTGCTGTTGTCTCAGTGCAGGGATTTCGGGTCCAAGGACACACTCCACTACTGCTTCTTTCTCTTGATGGCAGTGAGATCCTTCTTCAACCTCTGAAATGGCTCATTTTAAGGTTAGCAGAATGGCAAAACTGACCAATCCCCATGTTATGGTTCCATACACTTTATTTCCATGGTCCCACCCCAACAAGGGTACCATGAATAATTATTTACATTATTAAATAACAAGCCATGGTGATACATCAGGTTATGTATCACCTTGGCTGGGCCTGGTTTGGAGAGGCGAGGCAGCTGGATGTAGTTATTCCCCCATGATGAGACTGGTAATCAACTACGTGGTAGACTCTATTGTAAGCAGCTGAGTAGCTGCCTTAGTGATGTGTTCTGCTTCCAGTACATAATCTCTGAACTTTTTGGCACACTTGGACCCTGCATGTACCCAAGTCTTCATTTAGCAGCCTGCCATATTGCCTGCTGATCTTGGGACTATTTCTGGACTTGAACTAGTGGTCTGCCATGTTGATTGATAACCTTAAGACTGTGTCATTTTACTAGTCAACCTTGGGTTTGTCAGCCTCACTAGCCAGCAGCTGCCTGAATTAAGAGATCCCTCCAGCTCCAGTGGGCCAGGAGCAAAAAGCAGAGCTAAAGTCTAAGGTCAAAGGGCCTTCACCCAGCCCTTAGAGCTGGCACTATGAACTCGGACTTTTAGCCCCCTAAACTGTAAGAGAATAAATCCTGCTTGTTAAAGCCATCCACTTGTGGTATTTTCTATTAGAGTAGCACTAGAGAACCAAGCACCACCCACTCCCTTGGTGAACCACAAGCACTTCACATTTGCATAGTTCTACCCGGTCATCTGGTGGCAGTGACAAAGACCTTGGCTAGAAGAGTCATCTTAAGTAAATAATTCATTGCACCACTGCCAAAGAGGCAAGGAGGCCGCATCTTCTGACCTCCTCTAACCCCACAAGAGGAAGACAGAATCACCATCAGTAGCCCAAGGACTATTCCTACAAAGGCCAGACATGCTACCTCCCTCCAGCCCTTTCACCAACCCTGACACCAACCGTCCCTCCCACAGCACCCATCACCTCTCTGCTGGGTTCAATAATTCGCTGCAGTGACTACAAAGAACTCACAGATTATGGAGTTTATTAGGGAAGCAACAGGCTACAATTCAAATCAGAAATGCACTAGTCTCTCGCAGCCAGCAAACTCACTTAGCAGCCACCAGTCTCTCAGCAGCGCATGTCCCTTGCATCTCTCTCTCAACAGCATGTTTCTCTTGCATCTCTCTCAGCAAGTGCATGTCTCTCAGGAGCGTGTTTCTCTCAGCAGCACATCTTTCTCAGCCAGCAGTCAGAAAGACTCCTTCTGCCTCCAGGAGGGCTCCTTTTGAGCTTGGCAGAGTGACGAACCAAACAATCCCAACATGAGAATTCTACACACCTGAGAGAGAGGGGACTTCCCAGAAGATTCCTTCAAGCCATTCCCAACAGAAATAACCCAGGTGGATAATTTTAACAATTAGGAGCTACTCAGTTGTTCATGGAAAGTTCCACCATGGAGTTTACAAAAACTTAGGGCTACAAAAGCCATACCAGTTAATTTACTACACTGCAACCACATCTTCCTTTTGTTGGAAGGGGGAAAATGCTAATGTGTAACATTAGATACAATCATTGTTTTGGTTATCAAATTGGAAGACAAAAGGGCTATAATAAAAGGGGAGGGAGGGAAGAAATTTTTCCTGATCTAACAAGAGAAAAGATAAGGAAAAATAGAGATGACATGAGTTGTCATTAGAGAAAAATGAGCAAACAAAGACAGATAATGCAAAAAAAAAAAAAAAAAAAATCCCAGAGAGTCACTAAATGTGTGTAGGACACTACTATACAGCTGCACAAATTGTTCATTGCACAAAGGCAGTTGGTCAAGGGAACAAGTAAGGTCTTGATATGCAAGCTATATTCCACTGGCTAATCTGGGCTCCCTGTCTCAGGGCTACTATGTCTCAGGGCTAGAAACAGAAAATAGAGCCTTTTTTCTATTTCATACAAAGTTGTAGTCCACTTGCCAGGCCTTACAACTTATAAGATGGAGGGATGCCTTTTGGAAATTGCATAAAAGTCCTTCAGTGGTCTGAAGGAAGGAGCCCTGGTGGTACAATGGTTAAGCATTGGGCTGCTAGGTGAAAAATCAGTGGCTCAAACCCACTACCCGCTCCATGGGAGAAAGATGTGGCAGTTGGCTTCCATAAAGATTACAACACTGGAAACCCTATGGGGCAATTCTACTTTGTCTTATAGAGTTACTGTGAGTCAGAATAGACTCCACAGCACACAACAACACAGTTGGAAGGAGCTGAGCAGTTGTACTCTACCATTATATTCCTCTTTAGCCTCTAAAGCTAACCTCCCAGGCCCACTATTATGTAGAGAGAGCCATGAGAAAACAGCAAAGCTGTACAGACAGCCTCTACTACAGAATGTGCACAGACCCACTAAAAAAACCAAACCCACTGCCATCAAATCAATTCTGACTCATAGTGACCCCACTGGGTTTCCAAGGTAGTAAATCTTTACAAAAGTAGATTGCCCCATCTTCCTTCTGCAGATTGGTTGGTGGGTTTGAACCACCAGCCTTCTGGTTAGCAGTCAAATGCCTTAGGCACTGCCCCACCAGAACCCACTATTCATTCAGAATTCAAAGTGAACTTTTATTTTACCATTTAAATTTGGAATTAAAGTCCATTACTGCAAGCTCTGGTAGCATGGTGCCTAATAGGGCATTTCACTGCTAACCAGAAGGCTGGTGGTTCAAACCCGCCAGCCACTCTGCAGAAGGAAGACGGGTAATCAACTGTAGTGATACTGCCGCGGAAACCCAAGAAGGGGTCACTATGGGTCAGATCTGACTCAAGGGCAATGAGTTTGGTTTGGTTTGACTGAATTTGATTACAATTTATGTTGGGCAAAAGTAATCTTTTCATCACTAATGAAAAGTTGCTAATGGAATTCAGAATGGCATTTACTCCATAAAAGGAATAAATATAACTTTCTGTCAATTATTTAAATGTAATGACTGCTCCTAATTCAGTTATCACTACATACCCTAAAAGCTTGTAGGATCACACTCTGTTAACCACTAGAAAGAACTATCCTACATGTACATGAGGTAACAAAACTGCATTCAAAAGAAAATATTCTACAATTTACTCTAATTCATAGAAGCAAACAGCTGTTCTCCATATCCTCAAATTCATCAACTGAAAGTCACAGTTTCAAACCTCCATATACTTTCAAGTTTCAAACTCTTAAAAATAAAAACATAGACAATAATATAGCAAATACACTTTCAAACTGCACTGGCCAATGATTTATTCTTAAGTCTCTCCATTTTATGTAACTTACAATATAATAAATGTTCATCTAGGAAAAGTCATAAATCATAAGTTTAATTAGATAATTTAAGATATACATACATATATACACTATACAAAATGAAATACCTATTCTTACTTTGTAATTTAATTATTTCAAGCTATTCTTATTTCTATTTAAACACATAGTAAGCAAATGTTCCATGGAATTTTCTAATTCGTAATTTGTCCAGCTGTTTTCTAAAATTGGATGCCATTTATAATAATAGAAGCTCAAATACTTGCTTTTACCTCGAATAATATAATTATCCAGTGCATCTTCCATTCTCTTCAGTGCTTCAGTTCTATCAGAACCATATGAGATAAGCTAAAAGAAGAAGGGGGAAGAAAAAAAAATTTATTTACACAGGTTAAGTGGTTCATTCTAGTAAAAATCAAACTATTTCAGATTTCCCAACCTATCTTTTGAAATTCACAGTTCAATTTTAATATAGAGTATGAACATTAAGATTTTTTAAAGTAAGTAAGTTTTAGATTCAAGCTATTTCAGACTTTTATATTTCACTACCACAGTAAAAGAGACTTAAGAGAAATAAAAATATAACAAAAAGAAGCAGAGAAAACCATTTTAAAAGAAACACACCAAAATGTGGACATTTCAGACAGGACATGGCCATATGGAATGGTAAGGGACTTTTCTTTTCTATTGCTATTTTTCTGTTGTTTCCAAATTTGACACCCTGAATAGCTAACACTTTCACAACTGACAAAAACATAAACTTTTAAATTAAAAATACATTTTAAGAAAAAGATTATCTTAAGAATCATTCATAAAAAATAAACAAAAAGATAAAAAAAATCATTTATACTTTTACAGATAACATAAAACAGAAGCCAAGGGAAAGTATTAGGAAAGCATCATGGTCTTACTGTTCTCTGTGCTTTTGTGCCTATTTACATGTTATAATAATTTAGGAATAAAATGAGAGAGTAACTATTCATAAAATATTTTTCTGGTTGTTACATTAGTCTGTCAATTATAATAATTTTAGTACATTTTCTATTAACTCTTCAATATCATTATCAGGCAAAAATAATTTTCAGGCCTTCTTTTTAAATAAAAAAGGTATTCATCTAAAAAATGTAATCATATCTATTTAAATCAATCTATTTTTATTTAAAAATTGAATAGTATTTTCCTAAACACAAAATACCTAAGGTTTATTTTGACAATATTAGGCCAAAAACATTGAAGTCCCAAGTGCTGCAAATGGTTACCACACTTGGCTGCTAACAGAAAGGCTGGAAGTTCAAGTCTACTCAGAGGTGCCTTGGAATAAAGACCTGGTGATCTACTTTTAAAAGATCAGCCATTGAAAACCCTATGGAGCACAGATCTTCTCTGACACATAGGGGTCACCATAAGTCAGAGTAGAATTGACAGCAGTTGTTTGGTTGGTTGGTTGGTTTGGTGTTTTAGTGAAAAAGGAAAGAAAAAAACTTATTTACTTATTGCAACTACAACTATATAAAAAAACTACACTTGGAGAAAAACCATCTTGAGAAATAGTGTTAAATAAAGAAATCATCTCCTACTACAGATTTAAAATTCCTGAGACTACTGGACTTTCTAAATAAAATCTACAGTTTTAATTGTTATAGTCAGTATTTTGTATTTTATCCTGTCTTGAGATTTTCAATATTTTAACAGAGCTAGACATTTAAGCAGAATTGTTGTATTTATTCTCAATAGTCAATATGCTGCAATTGGGAAAAAAAGACATTTTAAACTCATATAAAATTTAATTAACCAAAAAACCAAACTCGCTGCCATTGAGTCAGAGCTGACTCATAGTGACCCCTCCTAGGGTTTCTAAGGCAGTATTACTACGGAAGTACATTGCCCAACCTTCCTTCTGAGGCGTGGCTGATGGGTTTGAACCGTCAGTCTTCTGGTTAGCAGTCAAATGCCTTAGTCACTACGCCACCAGAGCTCCCAAAATTGAATTACATCAAATCTATTAATTAACTAATGAGCAGTAAAATTGAATAGAAAGGGTAAAAATTATTCTGTCACCCCCACTCATGTTTTCATCTTAGGCAATTTTCAGGAATAGCCCCCAAAAATGTCTTAATTCCTTTTCATTGCAATAAACTGGGTTGGTGTCATTGGATAGATGTTTGTTATTGTGTATATGTGCTTGCATGTGTGTGTGTGTGTGTGTGTGTGTATGTGTGTGTAGGGTTAATGTGTTTGAGTTGATTGGAGAAGAGGGACTACTGCGAACTACTATGATATTAAAATTTATCTTTTAAGAGAAAAAAATCTCTGCTTTCACTTTTCTATCAGTGCATAATTATTTGTTTAATGATAGCGTGATTGGCACAAGGGTTCAATATCAGACTTTTTTAATTAAATGCATGCATTATCTTTTCAGAAGAAAAAAAATGAAAGAAATGACAGAACTCAAACTAACTTTTGAAATCATTGGATCGTAATAAATACTAATATCACTTCCTGGTTGGATGCCGCTGTCAACCCGGACCTGGGAGAAAATGAGGGAAAAATGAAAATAACTTAATGTTGTGCAGACATTTTTTTAACAACCAATTTAATTTTCATGAATAAACAGAGAAATAATTTCACTCTTAATTAAAAAATAAAGAGTCTAAAGTATCTTGATCTGTGAATACACAGTACAACACACATCTTTTGTTCTTTCACTAAATGAAGCAAGTAATAAAACAGTGAAACGTACTTTGTACATCACTATCCTGGGATGTACTGGTAGCTGTTAGATGGTGCCTTGCAACTGAAGTATGGCATGAGTCATGCCCCTTCTAATCACATTCCCCCTGACCCCTTCTGAGAGCTCCAATCAGGACCTCAGTCAAACACAGGCAGCAGGACTTGGGAGCTCTGCTCCTCAACTCTATAGGAACACTGGTCCTGTGGCTTTCATGTCTGTAACACTTTCCTTTTTTGCCTCACCCTCTCAACTGTAAAACACTTTTTTTTTTCCTGTTACTGTTAGTCTCCTGAGGCTTTAATGTTTACACAGCTTTTTCCATGGCTTTACTTTGTAAGGACACAGCCTCAATTAGAGTTCTGATTTTGCAATTTTCATGGGGGGAAAAAATAGCACAAGTTCAAAATATTCTTTTGAAGAACCTGATCGCTGTTAACCAGCCAACAAGTCAGTTAGTATATTGCTGAATCTTGTTTTCATCTCCCAGTTTGATATCAGCAGCAAAACACAGAGGTTAGCCATGTAAAACTTTTCAAATGAGCAGTTGCTGGGGACTAAATATTTGTTAAATTATTGCTACAAAGTTTAGGAATCTGAAGTATTTAAAAGCTAGTCAAAATACTTAAGACTGTCAGGCATATCCTAGGGATTTTGAGGATAGAGGAATTTAATCGAAGCTGCTAGAACAGCAGGACTTTGATGCCCAACATGGTAAAGGGGTGGGAAGGGAAGAGCGGAAGCTCACATAGCTCTTCACCTGTGGGAAGAAACCTTCCTAATAAACAGCAGTTCATCTGTCTGCAGCAAGGCAGAAAAAGGTCAACACAGCGGCTGTTAGGCCTTTAATATTTTAATTTAGGCAATTATCAAGGGACCACATGTAGAACCTCTTGTCTAGGATATCCACATGAGGGTATGATGATGGCTTTATTATACAGTGACACCAAAAGATAAACCGTAGTTTTAGTCTCTCAATAATATCGTAAAAAAATTACTATTACTGTCTTTGTAAGGTTTCAAAAGACAATGTTATCACTTACCCAGAGTGCTTTTATTTCCGTATTTATAAACATAAATAAAAATATAAATATTTGCATTCACATTCACATTTGCATACGAAAATCTTAATTTTAAATGAAAGCCATCCAGTATACTTAGATTTTGCAAGTATACTTACAAAAATATATTTGGCTTTCCATTTTATGAAAACACATTTCAGGACAAAAACTAAAGTTCTATGAAAACTACAACGTTTACAAAAACTAGGAAAGAATTAATAGAGAAGCTCTGAAAGCAATAAAATCACAGTTTACCTTGTTCTACATTCAAAATAGCCCTACATAGTGACTGGCAATCAGAGAACCCCATAGAAAAGATATCTCTGAACTTTCACTTTCTTGATTTTAGTAGCAAAAAGTGAAAGAGCTAAATTACCACTATATCATCTTTAAAAACATAGCATGCTTACAAAAGCTGTGTTTAAAATTGAGATTTGTACAAGTTCTACAACTTTTGATTTTAAACCTATCTTACTAAAGCTAATGTGGAACTTTGGTTTTCAATCTACTGATAAAATAACATAGACCATAAACAATATTGATTACAGTCTCCTATAGTCCAAAGCTTATAATTTTAGTTACCTTGATAAAACTATCCTAAAAGTTAGGTTACCAAGTTTTCTTAAGTATAACAACGTCTTTATATTTACTAAAATTATGATCATAGAAGGTATGTCCTTGTAACTTAAAAATATATAAGGTAAAATCAAGATGTACTATAAATACAATTATCTATGAATAAGCAAATCAACATTTCCCGCTTAAAATTTTAATAAAGCAAGACAACTCTCATAATTTACTGTTTATGCAGCTTTGTATAAATAGTAACCAGCTATGTTTTTTATCTCTAGCAATCAATTAAAAGTCCAATCAAATCTCCATCTCTCCAAAGAAAGAAAGGCTAGCCACACTGGCATTAGAAGTCCAATGGAACGGCAATCAAGTATCCGAGCAAAACAAAAGTGCAGTCAAAAAATCATAAATTTACAAAACACAATGATCAAAATCTTCCTTTTGCCATAGAAATAAATCTTATGCTAAAAGAAGCATGTGAAAAGTATAAACTGTAAGTTAACTCTTACATACATATCTTTGTAACCAGAAAAGGGAAAAGCTAAAACTGAATGATCTTGTTTTAATAAGGGAAGGAAGAAAAACAAATAACAAAAAACACCCAAGCACCTCTGTATGAGACTCTCGAATCATTGCTCAGAAACCTCTAGCATAATTAAAATTTCTTTCTTCAGTACCACACTGGACACTGTGAAACTATCAGACATCTCCCACCCTTCATTCTCAATTCACCTCTCCCCCTAACCACAACTCCCAGCCCGCCATGTCTACCTGACAAGTGACAGCCCAATCTGATTAAATGCTTGCAAGGGAGGGGACTCGTGGGCCTCCATGACAGGCCAAAAGTGATCACCATGGAGATACATAATTACAGCTGTCAACGCATCTACTGTCCTGCTGACATCAATTTGATTGCTCCCAGCAATAATGATAGACAAAGCTTAGTGTGCACTCTCCTGCACCCAATCACTTTATCTATTCCTTGGTCCATTTAGCTGACATGCAACATTCACACAAGCAAATAACAGCAGTAAGCAGAACATTTAAGGCATTTTAATTGTTTTTTCTTTCTATGGATGGCTCACAACCGTAAATGTTATTACATAAAACTCCTGCTGCAGCATTAATTGAAGAAAGATTTGGTGGGACAAAGACTGTAGGGGGTATAGTTTGTCCATTATCACTTGTACTTTCAACAGGTCTCACGTTTGAAAATTGCAAATTGCAAAAACTTACAAGGGCAAAATGTTTGACATCCTGTTAGCTATTACAACATGGTGAAAACTTCTAACAACTAGAGTAATCATTATGAATTCTTATTTAATACTTTTTTTCTTTGATTAAAAAAATGTTTAGATATGTCCCTATGATACTTATTTTCTCATCTGCTATCTAACGTCACATAATGCCTGTTAAATCTTTACAATTTTTTTTCTGCCTTCAAGCTTTGAACACAGCATGAAGTCTCCCAGCCTAGAAAGGGTCAAGTCCCTTTAGAAAGCACATGGGCAAAAACAATTTAAAAAATGAAATAAATCATATATCCAATAACATCTTCAAATTTAGAATTCTTCCTGTAATCTTTCACCATCTTCATGCAAGTAATTAAACTGAATAATCATATTCACAGATGGTACAACCTTGTCATCTACTAGCCAGTATAATGTCATATAGCTATGCACTTATTACCTTAAGAAAAAGGGTACATCATTGTTCTTTTTATGCAACAAAAACAATTTAAAGAACAGCTATTAATTATAAAAGAGTACAGAATAAAGTGGACAGTGATCACTTCTTTAAAAACTGGCATCAGTAATATATACTTCTTACAGTCCATGACACAATAGAATAAGGCACTATTTGTTTTCCTTAATCAATTTCAATGAAGGAGTTGATTTTGTGCTTGTATTTCTTGACATCTGACTATCAGGGAGCTAGTTTAAATTTCTTGAAAAGATTAAATCGCAACACAAAGAAGTTATTTCTCATTCTAGAATTCTATCTTTTACATTCAAATTTCAAAGAATTGGAAGCTACCATTTTGTATCATCAGATAGCTCTGGATTTCCCTGTCAAGTCAACTCTGGCTTTCCTCTATGCTACACAGTAGAAAATGGTAAAAATATATAAAAAAAAAAAAAAACTGTGCTTCCCTGTGATTTTTACTTGCGCTTCAATTTACACCCTTTCGTCTTGACATGCTTTACATAAAAGCACAACACAAATCAAGTAACTCCTCACTTGATATTATAGCCTAATGACTTACACCAGGTAGATGTACTGGTTCTTGGTACTGAGACAATCTCCCAATAGACGGCAAACCAAAAGACTTGTAGGGATCCTGAAAGTTCAAAGAAAAGGAAGCATAGTCTTTGAAATAAAACTCAGCACAAGTAAAGCTGAATATTTATCAAATGAAGAAGCATTTATAGGCCTATTTTCAACATAGAGTATTTACCAAATAATAGACTCCAGAATATTACTGTCTCCTGCTCATTCTAAACAATTTAGAACTGTATTTAAAAATCAAACAGAACTGTGAGCAAAGTTTAGCATGACCTTCATTGTACTACATTGAAATTGGTAAATTTCCAAATTTTTATAAACTTTCTTAGAATGGCTTAGGCAAAAATAAAATAACCTAGGTTCTACATCAAAACATGCTCAAGTTTATAATAACAAATGTGGTGTACAAAAGGTACTGTGTTTTTTTACTTCTCAAAACAGCTAACATTGGTAAACTTTCAGGATTCTAGTTCTTTAAATAAAGACTTGAAAAAAACCTTTGCATGTGCTACTAGATAAGTACTTCATTTGTAAACATCTTAGGTAATCAGAATAAATAATAAATATGATCAGTGTCACAAAAATAAGGAAAAAAAGAGAATGCCAGTTGAAATAGGTCAAAAACCAAAAGCATAATTTTTAAGATCTTTAAAAAATGTTTCAAAAAACTTTCAGCATTCTTAAACAGATACTGTTCATTTACTTTTATTTTGATAGACAGGCTTCAATGCCCGAAAGTAAAATGGATTGCATTCCTGTTTTAATCATTTATTGACTGTTTTATCCAATTTATATAGCTATAAGATTATATGAAAATATTACACTGAGTTTACATTTGTGACTAAAACACATTATTGACATTATGAATGAAAAATACATATTTTACCAAAAGCCATAAAACTCAAGTTCAACTTTTACTTTCAAATAATTAAAAGGGATAAAATTATTAGGAAGAAAATTGTCAAAAATGTTAAGCAAACATTGAGTTAACATTTAGCATGTACCCAGGACAGATTCTTAAAAAAAAAAAACCACTCGCAGAAATAAATGTTTTCTATTTATTACTAACATGGCTTAAGAAAAAAAGTAAAACAAAACAAAAAATGGTCCATTCAAATTCAAGAATATTTATTTACCTACTGGTATGCTGTCTCTTAAACTGATTGGTAGTTATTTCTCCATCCAGAAATAATATACGAAATTAACTAAACTCAATACTTTAAAACTATTTTATGTTAAGTAAAAATTACCTAAATAATGTTTCTGGATCACATAATGAAATACTTGGCATAAAATTATTAATTCTAACTTTCCCCTGCTGTTTAGCTGTAGCTGGCTAGTATTAGGACTCTGAACACAACAATCCTCCTTCCTCCCAACATCATTCATTTTACCTCAGCATAAACCCGACATTCAACTGCCCAGCCGTTGATGGGAATATCAGCTTGTTTGTGCCTGAGAGGGTAACCCTTAGCAACGCGGATCATTTCTTGGACTAGGTCCAGGCCAGTAATGCATTCTGTGACAGGATGCTCAACCTGCAAGGTCAAGATCTGCCAGTCAATAGGTGTAGAAAAAGGTAAATAAATACAAATAAGGCAAATTTTCACTTTGGGTAAAATGAGGTTAATTATATTTAACATTTAATCATATGTGACAAAAAAACCCTCCAAACAAGAGAATAAAATTAAAGAAGAAACACAATACAAGTCATGAAAAGAAAACTCAAATCCTAAAAAAGTATTTGTAAACTCTTTGTACTTTTCCCAGATTTAATGTAGATTTGGCCTCAAAAAAATGTATCACAACTTTAATTTTGAAACTAATTCTTAACCTGAAATCACATAGTTGGCTGCAATCCTCAGTGTGGCTGATAATCAACCCATTCTGCTACACTTAACATGGCATCTATAGGAGCAGCTTATGATTTTCCAAAGCACTAGTCCACTGTCTCACTCACTTGCATGCTTTCACTAACCTGTCCTGACAAGCAACCAGATTAGCGTAATCTTACATTAATGCAGTGTAGCAGAAAGCAGCAGATGGATCCTTCAGATTTTTTTCCTTCCAGACTTACTTGGGTAGTGCTTAGCATGCACAATAGCAACACTGAGCCAGTAAAATCATCGTGCACTCTCAGCAAATTACTGATAACTACTTTGGATGATGTTGTCATGGGGATATCTGGTCTTCCACACTAACATATGGGATTTATATAGACAAAAACGTGCACCTGCATACATAGGTACACTAACATAGATACACATCATTATAAACTTGAATGATCACTTACAAAATCCTAAATCTAGCGGAGTCCAAATAAAGCAACCTATGGCACTGGAAAAGACGAGATAATCTATCTTTCATCTAAAATCTTGAAAAAAGTTTCAGAAGTTTGAATAAAACTTTGGGCACAGCTGCTGCTTCTATATCAATTTTTTTCCTCCTAAAAACGAAACATGTTTTAAATGCACTTCGGAATAATTTCTTTATCATGGCATATCATTTTTCACACACTCATAGGAAAAGGTTAGTGAAAATACGAATTGTATTCCCATCTTCAACTACACTAATTGAAGGATGGGACTTAGTCATCACAATAATCTTGAAGAGTATCATAAGCAGACAATGCTATGGTTTAAAAAAAAAAAGCTTCGTAAAATAAACAGATGGTGTCCATAATTAGCTCTGTGTGTGTTATGAGTTTGTTTACAGTTTCAACAACATTTTAAGACATTTTGACATATTTTTAATGACAAATCATCACTAAAATAAGCACCTACACTTTGTAAAATAAATGTGATACTAAATAAAGATCTGATTAACTGGTTTAAAATATATTTTTTTGAAAGAAAATTATGTTTTTGTGAGAAATAAAATTCTATACAATAAATACAGTGAGAAAGTTGCAAGTATCTATTATTGCTAGGAACAAATTTCATGTAAGAAGGCAACTCACCACTAACTATTCAAGAGATGCACCTACTATATGCCAAAGACATTATATAACTACTACTTACACAACCCTATTAGGTGAGAAAAAATAATGTTTTGTAAGTAAGTGAATGATTCAATATCCCCTTTCTATATTCAGGCCCCCAAAACTATATAATATATACCAGACATATAACTATATATTGAATGAATAAATGAGTGAATGACAAATTCAGAATCACAACTATAGTAAGTGGGAGAGGAAGGAAGATTAAAATGTATTATCACTCAAGAGATGATGTGGTCGGTCCTTTCCTTCCTCATGGAAAAATATAGATAAAAGCATATAGAAAATATAAACAACTATACTATTTGTTCTCTCTCCCTCCCTTAGTTTTCAGATATTTTAAAAACTTCTGTCAAATTTGTTCTTGCCTGGGAGCCACTTTGTTCCTTTTTATATGTCTACTCTCATCTCTTAAATACTTAGTTTAACTTGCACAGGAAAACTATTTCTGCATTCTTGGATATGAAGAGGGATGCACTTGATTATTTAATTGACACTGTGTTTACAAAATTCCCGGTATTAATTAATAGGGTCCCAAGAAAATGTTTCACTTATCTTGTTAAATAGCTTTAGAATTCCATTAAATGTACATTTTGGAATGATTTATTTAAAAAATATTTAAAATGATAAGCTTTGCTTTAAAACATATATTTCTGTTACTTGAAAAACTCAGCCATATTAGATTATTTGGACTCTGACAATACTTGTACCTAAATGGATGTTTTAAAGAAATTCTGTAAGTAATGATTTCTGCCTTGAGAAACTGGTCATTACTTTAGTTATGTACTTAATTCCATTTTGAAATCAATTTACTAACTTAGATTATAAAATATGTGTTGTATTTCTGTTATATAGCTCTAAATTTAGAATAAAGTGGGTCCATTTTGGTTCTCATTCAAAGCAAGTCTAATGTACTTAGTTTTCTACACAGTTATAGAGAGGTCTCCTAAGGTAAAACAGAACCTTGTAATAAATTTGGATCTTTAAACTTTCTTAGTAATATTTTTACAAAATTACGCCAGACCTTCCAGACTAAGACAGACTAGGAAGAAGGACATGGCAATCTACTTCTAAAAGAACTGGCCCCTGAAAACCTGAAGAATAGCAGTAAAACATTCTCTGATGTAATGCCAGAAGATGAGCCCCTCAGGTTGGAAGGCACTCAAAATACAACTAGGGAAAGCTACCTCCTCAAAGTAGCATAAGCCTTAAAGAAATGGAGGGACTGAAAACCTTTTGGGAGCCCTGGTATCATAGTGCCTAAGACACTTGACTGCTAACCAGAAGGCTGGAGGTTCAAACCCACCAGTCACTCCTTAAGGAGGTTTAGGCAACCTAATTCCGTAGAGATACTGCCTCGGAAACCCAAGGAGGGATTGCTATGAGTCGGGTCCAACTTGACAGCATATAACAACAACAACAACAACAAACCGTTTGGGACCTTCATTTGCTGACGTTGCAAGACTCAAAATGAGAAAAAATAGCTATAAACATCCATTAATAATTAGAACATGGAATATATGAGGTATGAATGCAGGAAAACTGGAACTCATCAAAAATGAAAAGGAACACATAAAGATGAAAATTCTGGGTGTTTGTGAGCATAAATGGTATCGGCCACTTTGAATCAGACAAACACGGTCTACTAGGCCAGGACTAACAAAGTGAAGTAGAATGGCTGCATTCATTGTCAAAAAGAACATTTCAAGATCTATCCCGTCAGTGATAGAAAAATATTCATGTGTCTACAAAGAAGACCAGTTAATATGAATACTATTCAAATTTTAGCACCAAGCACTAAAGCCAAAAAAGATGAGGAAATTGAAGATTTTTACCAACTTCTGCAGTCTGAAATTGATCAAACATATATTCAGGATGCACTGATAATTACTGATGATTGGAATGCAAAAGTTGGAAACGAAGAAGCATTGGTAGCTGGAAAATATGGTCTTGGGGACAGAAATGATGCCAGAGATTGCGTGACAGAATTTTGCACGACCTGTGACTTATTCATTGTAAATACCTTTATTCAACAACATAAATGGTGACTACAAGTGGACTGGACCAGATGGAATACACAGGAATAAAATCCATTACATCTGTGGAAAGAGATGATGGAGAAGCTCAAAAGCCTAAGTGAGAATAAGGCCAGGGCCAATTGTGGAACAAACCACCAACTGCTCATATGCAAGTTCAACTTGAAGTTAAAGACAATGAAAACAAGCCAACGAGGGCCAAAATATGACCTTGAGTATAGCCTATCTGAATTTAAAGACCATCTGAAAAACAGATTTGACACATTCAATGTTGTGATAGTTGGAGCTGTGTGTCCACTTGGTTGGACCATAATTCTGTGTGGTTTAAGCAACTGTGATGTGGGTTGTTCCAATGATGGGATCAGATGTATATGTTTTGAGCAGCCAATCCACTGAAAGGGAGTTAGCCTAGGGGTGTGGCCTGCTTCCAGTATATTAATGAACATCCTGGGAAAAGAGACACTCTTCTGTGGATCGGGATTCTATTGTGCTGCCGTAAGCAAACATCCACCATTTGGCCTGGAGATCTTGGATTCATCACTAATTGGAGTCAAAAGCCAACATATTGCCTGCCAACCCTGAACTCCTCCACCCCTGCAGCTGCGTGAGTCAGGAAAAGCCTACAGCTTGACATCTGATCCAAGAACTTTGGACTTGCCAGCTTCTATAAACGTGTGAGCCATTTTCCTAAGATAAATTTCTCTTTCTCTCTCTCTCTATATATATGCTTTACCAGTTTTGTTTCTCTAGAGAACCCAGTCTAACACATTTGGTACCAAGAGTGGGGTCTAGAGAGAAAATCATAAGGATGGGCTTCCTAAATTGGTTCTCCAATTGGATTAATCGTAAAGACACTAGTGACCCTGCCTCTATTAGTAAAAAGGGCTTTGCTAATCCAAGGCATGAGGAGGCAACATTAATATGCAAAATAGCAACACCAATAGATCAAGTACTTGTGAGAAGTGAGGCTCTGGATGATGGCTTATTTGATACTTTTCTGCAATTTTGTCAGCATGAGGAGCATTAGGAAGCTGGTTGGTTGGTCCTATTTACACTAGAGAAAGTGGCCATGGTGGCAGGGATGGTGGTTATGCATGGGCTTAGCAACACTGACTCCCACTTACCAAGGCTGATTTGGCTACCGCCACTGCTGAGTGCACAATCTGCCAGCAACAGAGACCAACACTGAGTCCAAAATATGGAACCATTCCTCGGGATGATCAGCCAACAATCTGGTGGCAGGATGATTACAACAGACCACTTCCATCATGGAAAGGACAGCATTTTATTCTTACTGGAATAGATACTTATTCTGAATATGGATTCGCCTTCACTGCACACAATGCTTCTGCCAAAACTACCATCCATGGACTTATAGAATGCCTTATCCACCATCATGGTATCCCACACAGTATTGCTTCAGATCAAGGGACTCACTTCACAGCAAATGAAGTATGGCAATGGGCCTATGCTCATGGAATTCACTGGTCTTACCATGTCC